AGGATATAAATATAAGATTTAGAGTAATAAAATAAAAGTAAGATAATTATACGATTGGATAAAAATAATAATAATCAGGTGATAAATAGTAAAATTAAGAAAAAGAAAATTTCGTATAATCAAAGAAAGATTATTGAATTAGAGAAATTTATGTACTACGGTAACAATAATATAGTTTAGAAATATAATTAAAACTAATTTAGAAATATAACTGAAATTATAATTATATTTCTTCCAGATAGTTTAGGAATTCATTTTTAGTAATAATATCAAAATTTATTAATTAAATATAGTAAAATATAATTTTTTCTCTTTATATAAAAGTTTTTACTAATAAATATTTTTTATTTTTATATTAAATAAAGATAATATATAATATTGTCATAAAAATATTAGTAAAATTGAAAACTTTTATATAAAGAGAAAATATTATACTTTACTATCTTTAATTAATAAATTTTAATATTGCATTATTTTTAATTGTTATTATATAAAAGTTTTAAATTTTATTAATAAATATTTTTTATTTTTATATTAAAACAAAGATTATAAGTTATATTTTAATATATACTTTTTCTGGATTTTTTTAGATTTTTTTTAGATTTTTTTTTGATAAAATTGTTCTAATTACAAAGTTATTATAAAAGTTTTTTATAATTAATTTATATTTAATTATAAAGAATTTTTATGATAACTTCTCAATTAGAATAACTTTATCAGATAAAATCCAAAAAAAATATATGCTAAAATATAATTTATTTTAATGTAAAAAAATATTTATTAATAAATTGAAAACTTTATATATATAAGACAAAAATTTTAATTTTTACTGTGTTTTATTAATAAATCACACATGTAATTCCATAATTTTGTTAATTATTATATAAAATTAAATTTAAAAAAATCTGAAAAAATATATGCTAAAATATGTAATATTGTCTTTATTTAATATAAAATTAAAAAATATTTATTAATAAAATTAAAAACTTTTATATAAGAAAAAAATCCATATTTTTATTATATTTTATTAATATTTTTTTGTCATTGCATTTTTTTATTGCTATTGTATTTAAATTACTATTGAATTTGATAATATAATAATTAATTATATTATTTATAATACATTTTTGAAGTTTGTTATTAAAAACTTTTAAATACAATAGTAGTTAATATTTTTGAATTTCAAAAAGTAATAAATGTGATATACATTTGATAAATCAGAGGAAATTAAAAAATAAAATATAACAAGCTAAAAGTTTGCTTAAAAACTACCTACAAAACTTGAAATATAGAGAAAAAGCATGATGCCCTCAAACTCTCTATATGCTACATATTTCTTTGATGTGTTTGTGTGTGTGTCTATAAATAGTAAAGAAATAGTATTTCTCTGATCCGCACAATGCTATATTTTCTTGTTCTCTATCTCTCTTTTCTCCATTTCTTATTTGTCCTTTTTCTTTGCGAGAAAAAGTAAGATAAACAAACCTATATATAATAAAATAATCGAAAGAAGTAAAGAAATAAAATAAAAATGGAATATAGATAAATAAATAGGAGGCATGTTGGAATGTGTATTGAATTATTATTAAATACGGAAAAAAGGATAGAGTAGGAATTTAATAAGGGTGATAATATAATAGGGTAATGCGATATAGAAAGCTATTTTGCTGCCATAAATATGAAACTAATAAAAAAACAATAATATAATAATATACCATATCGGAAGCATTCGAGCATAAATTTACTGGATATCTTTCTCGAGGTAAGTACTGCATTATGTACAGTAATACATAAAAGGTGGATATCTAGATTTAATATTTTTTTGCCAAGAGCTAAAATATTTCATAAAAAATTGCAATAGAGGTAGTAGTAATTAATCGTGAGGTTGTTTGCCCGCATATGAGGGAGGACGAGGAGCACCAAATCCTATCGGGCATTATATGGCACTGATATCAGTCGAGTAAACATAAGAGATTAGAATTTAATACATACGATGATGTTTGTACTTATTGTTATCATAATACGTACATTTGGTATTTTATTTGGCAGCAATGGAACCGGTAGCAATTTTTGCCACCGCAGCTTCAACTTTTACTTTAAATCTATCTGGATCGTTCATTGAATGAGCCAATTCACGGAGATCATCGGTATCGAGAAGAATGATTGTTACTTTGCTTGCTTGAGCCTTCATTCCAAGACTCTAATAAGAAAATATGTAAGGTCCCAATTGTTAATTAGAAATTGTATTCAGAGATTTGATAGTCACAAATAAATAAAATTATAATAAATTACCTTGACCGTGGCTTTAACTTTTGGGAAGAGTCTATCACCCAATTTTTGTTTTTGCTCCAAAATTGGTTTATTCTTGATAGACTCGAGGAATATATCTATTTCCTCATGCTGAGCATCATAAACACTGTTGCTAGGCGTTACACTTTGCTCTGGCATCTTTGGCTGAGAAGGTAAAATAGAAGTCGTTGTTGGTTCTGGTGATTTAGCGGGAGGAGTTGAAGCAGGTGTAATATCTGCGGAGTTTAAAAGTTTATTTGGACTCGAAGGTGTAGTGGATTGGTCATCTTCACGCGTAAGACTAAGTGCAAAATTCGCTTCGATAATTTTTTTATTTAAATATTCAGGATTGAAATAGCACAAAGTACGCTCTTTCTTATTCAAAGACATGATTAATTCAAGAATCTCATCGCCATGTTGAGGCGCGATTCTTTTAATCGCTTTTGAAAACTTTTCACGTTCTGTTATCATTGAATACTGAGGTGTTGAAACATTCGAAACATTCGAAACATTCGAAACATTTGGAACATTTGGAACATTTGGAACATTTAGAACATTTGGTGTGCTTGGCTGCACGGGATCATCAGATCCACGGCGTTGCTTCTTCTCCATTTGGAGAGAAGATCGAGCTTCGTGAATCTGAAAAATTTTCATTAAATACTAATATTAATCACATGTATATATCATATATAGAGAGACTAATCAAGAGACAACTACTAACCTTTTGTGTCAATGCAGGGGGATCTTTAAGAATATGTAACACTTCGTGAATTTTCATTTTCAAGAGATGTTCAATAATAGGACCAACTTCTTCTTGAGGGACTGCGATATTTTTAAACCGCTTTTGCAACTCAGAACTCAAAATTTCAGTTCGCGCTTTAGGCGCGAGTCCAGACAGAGTTTCTTGGTCATATTCATTGACCGCATTGATAGGGTACTGATCGGAATTTCGACGAGAAGGAGCACGAGATTCTGAAGGAGAAGTTGGATTGAAATTATTGGTAGATTTTGCATCACGCATTTTTTTTGGTTCGTGAAGTCTAACAACAATTTGTTTCGTCCCAAGAGTCTTATTATTCATCGATTGTTTAGCTCGATCAGCCTCCTCAGGAGTGGTATAACTTACAAATCCGAAACCTTTAGACGTGTTGGTTTCTTGATCTCTCATTACTCGAGCACTGATGATACGACCATATTTGCGGAAATGATTAAAAAGATCACTACTGGTAATATTTGCATCTAAATTCTTTATAAAAAGATTACAAGGATCTACCAAAGGACCCTCGGGACCAGGTGATTGCGGTGGAGTTTGTAAACTGTTGTAACTCCCTGCAGGCGAAAATTGAGACTAATTTTAAAAAATTAAGTCAGTAAACGAATAAAAACATTCTTCGTGATCAATAACAATTATTCTTAAACTTACCCCGTTTGAAGATATAGAATTACTGCGAATATTGGTTTTAGTAGGGGTGATCGATTGAAATTGTTGGAGATTGCATACGGATACAGTACTAAGGATAACATTGTTATTATTAACAAACATATATTAGTATATTTCGCTTATTGTGGTAAGAGAAATTAAATATAAGAAATAGAATTCTATTAATTCTTTTTAAGGTAAATATGGATTTATATCCTATGATCAACTTACATCGACTTTCCATCTATTTCTTGGCAGTGCTGTAATAATACGAGTAAAAAAACTCAAATTCAATTCATACACAAAAAAGAAAATACGAATGAATCATTTTCTATACCATTTTATCCAATGCTTGTTCAGCGTCAGCTTTATTGAAATATTGGATATAAGCTCTTCCCCTGGGACGACCATTCGCCGGATCCGAATGAATTTTCAATGAATATATAGGACCGAATGTCTGAAAATAAGCATACAAATCTGTTTTCGTTGAAAATTGCTTGACTTCTAAAACGAAAGCATTTGGTGCTTTATCGGGTCCGTTATTGGGATCATTCAAATGTAAGCTAAATTTCTCCGTGCAATTATTATATAATGCAAAAGCTCTATCAGCTGTGATTATTATCAATATAGAGAATAATATAATTATTAAGTAGAATAGAACGAGCGTATAGGAGAATAAATACACATGTTGCAAGTGTGAATGGGATATCGGTGGATTCAGGATCTTTCGGCCAACACTAGTCTTATCCCAGCATTAACCCTTACCCCTTATCCCGATTCCATATCCACATAGATCACATTCCCACTTGCAACATATATAAAAGAAAATTATAATTACCGATGTCGCGATTTGCAAAATAAAGTACACGATTTTTGATATCGACTCTAAATTTAATTAAGTTTATTTTCAACTGATTTTGAACAAACAATCAGCTTGCATCAAGATGCATATATAAAAACTTACCTAATTGGAGCTACATTCCCACTGAAAATGCCTGACACCTCGTCCTCAGTCATATTGGAAGACAGTTTGCTTAAGTAAAGTTTGGGCTCGTCTGAATGCGAGCCATTAGAGTTACCGCCGTTTATCGGCATCTTAGTTATTGTCGTGGGCTTATAAGTATAGTTGATAGTATCTGTATTGGGGGACGTCATTTTATCACAAGAGACTTTATTACTACTATGTTGAATTTTAATTTAATTCTATTTATTTATATATAAAATAGATTATATATGTATTTTGGGATTTAACAACAAACAAACAGCCAAGACAGCTTAGAAAATGGCCGTGAGTATGTGTTTTTTTTGCATATACCGTATAGAGCGGAACAGAGTTAGGTTAACGTTGCGAACGTGGGTCATGAGCGGTACTTATTGAAAAATTGTTCGGTCAATCATGCACTTTTGCTCCATCACATATGTTGGACATGTGTGACTCTACTTTTTCATGAACATTATTATTATGCAGATTTGGATGATGATTCTGGCCAATTGGATTTTGCGCAGCGAGAAGCAAAAAAGTGGTGTAACTCGGTCCCTAATACTAAAAAGTGTTCATTAGATAACTGACCAGGCGGGATGCTCCCCTCTTTTAACAATATTAATAGATTAACGTTAAATAAATAATCTAATTCGTATCTTCTTGATACATTGATTGATTGATACATTTACTTGAAGAAATAAGGACTATGTAACTAAAGTCTAACGTTAAGTTTATTGACAAAGAATCGAAATACGGTACGGTATCACTCGCATTTTACGCGTGTTTGCACCGAAAAACCTGTATTATTGCTACACACATAATAATTGCATTTTTATTATTATTCATGATCATAAATTTCAATCTTTTTTCTTTAACCGATACTGAAACATAGCAAGCATATCGATATGCCGATCTTATCCCATCCAAAAAAATGCATGTCACACGTGCATACTGCGCAATTATTCAGGTTTTATCTCGCTTAATTCAATTCGGATGGATTTAGTCAGTTATCGTTGTTTCTTGAAGGACAAATTTATCCTAGACCCAATTGATTTGCGATTTACGGAGGTCTAGACCCCAGGTACATATATATGATCCACCCAAGCCTTGCACAAACCACACAAACTTGTTTCTTAATATGTTCCAAAAATTCGCTAATTAAATGCTTTTTATTGGCTACACCAATCCCTATTGGTTTTTTGCAATTGCTAGATACAAATCATGGGAGGTATATTTAAGGAAATCGCGAATTAGCGAAGATCACTGTATTGAAAAATGGATCAAGTGATGCTCATAATTACAATTAATTGATTGATAAGTAACTATTTTTTACATCTATGAATATAGAAAATAATTATAAGTATAGTTTTTGATTGATTCAAACTAGTATTTCTATAAATAAAATTTCCGCACATCCAAAAAGGTCTTTTTTGAAAATAAATAAAAAATCAAACCAAAAATATCCAAGGAGTCAATGCAATTTCACAACAATAAAGGATTCCCAACAATGGTGGCCCGGCAAACATTCCGAACCAAAAGAACGCATTTCCCAACCACCTCCTTCTTCTCATAGCAGGTAAATTTCCCATCCATATCAATGGCAACTGAAACATTTGCAAGGCGAATAAATACATGCGAATCTTTTTAGAGACTACAATCATCACTAGTTCGTGCACCAATGACGATAAGAAAAATGTCATGAAACTCGCATCTCGTTTTGATAGTTTGTAGGAGTCGATTGAGGTTTGATAGACATGGCGTAAGAGGAAATGGTGAACTGGTTTATTCCATTTACGTGCATATTCGTCAAAGGTGGCGCTATTCCACCAGTCATCGTAAAAATTTCGATCAGCGAAACTTTTAATTTTTTAATTATAAATTAGTAATGATGATAGTAATGTTAATATTAATCAAAGTAAAAAAAAATAACTCACCAACTTATTTCGGCAAACAGATTACATATACACTCGAATATTATATAAAAAATCAACAAGTAATTAACCATGAATGGAAAAGACATTCCAAGAAAAGCTTTAGTAAAAGATTCAGCAGCGCTCGGAATAACGGGAATAATATATGTTTCCGTGTTTACGTATAAAAGTAAAAAAGTTCCCAGAGTCGCCAATGCCTTTTCAAATACATACCAAGGCCGAATCCTAAATAAATAATGTGATGATTTGTTATGCTTTTGGCAAGTATAAAAAAATGATATATTATATATAGTCTACATACTTTACAGTTCTTGGATACTCGAATTCGTAAACCAAAGTTGGAATCAATAAGTAATCAAAGAAATTCGAAAAAGTGAGGTTGTCAGGATACGAAACTTTTCCTGAAGGACTTTTCATGCAGCTTTCGATCTCTTCAATTTTTTGATGTAAATTTGATAAACGATGGGTCACATCGTTATTAACATTATCATCATCTGATTTTTTATTTAATCCCAGTAATAAATTGTATTCGTTTCGCAAACTTTTCAGCTGAATCATCAAAGAAGACAAATCTCCACTATAAAATGCATAAGAATGAATTTTCATCAACATTGAAATTGTATGCAGTACAAAAAATCCTGTTTGTACCCAAGGCCAACCTCTATATGACATAATACAATAAATAATTAGTAAATGATTATATGATTATAAAATAACAATCAAATAAAAAAGTTAAGTAAAATACCTATAAAATGTCCAATAAATTGCGATAGATAGAAAAGAAAATTGGAATATATGCTGTATAATCATACCAGTATATCGCCACCTTATCCAACCGCGAGAAACAATTTTTTGAAACACGACATCGAAAAAGGTAGCAGCAATCATACACGCGTCACTCAACATCAATCCAAAAGCATCACGTGAAAATAATCTCGCAAATGATAAATCAACAAATGTTCCACCTTTTTCTAAATTATGCATCACCGTCTGTATAATATAGAAAGCCATTGCTATCCAGAATAACGTAAAAAACCCGCGAAAAGGATCTTGTTGTTTATCCATTGTTTCACGGTCAAGTTGTGACCCACGAGGTTTAAAGGTGACGTAACGTTTTATTAGAATTTTTGAGAGGGCATAAAGTTCATCTTTTTGTTCAATATTAGTGGCTGTTATAGTCGCCGTTATTGTCAATTTCTCTTTATTAACAATGTCATCATTAGTCGCATCGTTCTCATTTATAGTAGCTGTGATGGTGGTGGCTGTAGTTTTTTGTGACATGGTTTGAGGAGCGTATTCATCGTTAACCTTAAAATATTTAGAAATAATTATTTTTGAAGTGAAAGAGGAAGACATTGTTTATTATTATTATATCATTGTTATTAATTAATATTATGATAAACTAAAACTAATCTGAATATCTTACTAACTTTCTTTGTTTCTACCTGTGCCATATGATATAAAATAATTTTTGTAAAAAGACGCGTTTATTTTTCGATTTCAAGAATTGAAATATTTGCTTTAAAACCAGTAATTTTAGACGCGAAAAAGAAGGAATAGACAAATATATACTGTAATTCGACAAATACAGGATTTAAGACTACATAATTATAAATCATTTCTTGCCTAACCCGACAGAATCTAATAACCAAGGAGCTAATTAGTTTTTGTACATGTATGTATCAATAATAATCGAAGAGGGCTTGTGATGCATACATGTACAAATTAAAATTCCGAAATTCCGAACACAAATCAAATGGGATTATTACTACCCGTTTTTCACCTCTACTTACCTGCAAGTTTTGGATGTATATACCTCTCTGCCGCTGGTGAAAGCAATAGTGCACCCAGCACAGCTTGATTTTTCTGGAATGATAGCAATTGCTTTTCTGTGAATTTCACTCTGCAGTCGCAGTATTATATCTTGCATCCAAGAGACCGCCTTTTGAGTCTCTTTGCTTGCACTTGAAAGTCGATGTATGCGTCTCCCAAGGGGGCTGAGTGCAATAGAAACGGTGTAAATTATACATGTTTCCCTATTCCCGTATTTGGTAATTCCGGCATTGATACGGCCACCCAATTAATACGGTCGCCCAATTAATTAACAATTAGTAATTCGTCCGTGGGAAAAAGGTAGAGCTAATTCTACTACATGTATAAGTGTAAATTGTATTAGAATTTATAATACAATTGACACTATTTTTATTGCAATTGGCCCATACTTTTTTTTTTTGCTAGCCTAAAACTCATATTGGATGTTATTTGAATATATTTATACATGTAGTATGGTTAGTGCTTTATTTATTCACTAATCAAAGGGAGAATCTGATTAAAGCCGAATATATTCGCAGGCCAAAATCAAGAAAAATATTACTCCCCATACTTTCGACAAAGTTTTGCTACTCTTTTATACCGCAATGGACATAGTAGTATGCAGACTACCGAAGGCTATATTCAGAATTATAGTAAATTGTGAAAGGCAAAAGCCTTCGACGAAGTAAAGAATGAACCAATTTTAAGCAATCATGTATAACACTAAACTAAACAACTACCATTTAAAACCCAAAAACAGCATTATTTACACACCCTCAGAAGTAAGTTAGTTTATTTTTAATTTGCAATGCTCCAATCGGGTCGGGTCCAATCCGTGACCCGATCCGAGCCGCACACTTCGGGTCGGTCGGGTCACGGATTGGACCCGACCCAAAATATTTCTGGTCAGTCTAAAAATCGTTATTTCTCGTTCAATATTAATTCAAATTAAACGAAAATTTGTGGATATATATACAATTACATTCCGAACAACTCTACTTAAGACACAAAATACAAGTGTCTTAGTAAAAATAAAAGAAGTTAATGAAAAACTATTTTACGATTTTCGAATCAAACCTGAACCCGACCCGAATTTATCGGTTCAGGTTGACCTCAAACCCGACCCGACCCGAACAGAGCTTTAAGTGTCTATCAAATTTCAGGATTTAAATTTGGCTAATATGTTTGCTGGTAAAATTATAAAAAATTCCATTTTATATTTGTGATGGCTAGATTGAAAAACATATAATTATTATATTATATAAAATTAAAAAACCTGATTTTTAAAAGAGTATATTATATAAATATTAATTATATTTTTGTTATATTAATTAAGTATAAAAAAGCAAAGTTAAAGAATAGGAATAATCTAATTGGAACACCCTGTTCCAGGAACAACCTCGATAAATCACGTGACATCTGACCGATTGATTTAATACACATGACCTATATCTGATTGGCTGAACTCTGTATAACATCATCTTGTTTATTGTATTTGGTGTTTCTTTTCATTGGTGAGCATTTTCGTTGGTGCTGTCATTTCATTAGTGTGGCATTTACTAATTTCCCCTGAAGTTTTGATTGGTTGAGGATATTAAAGGTTAGTTTTAGCATTAGGATTAAGGATTAGGGTTAGGACTGGAGGGAAGATTATATGTAAGATTGTCTTTCCGACATTTTTTATTAGTGCTTCAAGCCAGATTTAAGCTTTTATTTTTCATATTTTCACATTATTTATATTTTTAATTTCCTTAATTACATGTTTTTAATCATTCTCATTAATTAAAACTATATCACATTAATTGCAAATTCAATGATTTGGCCAATGACAAATCAAAATGTTTATGTATAACTGCCAGTTTTTTACTTCAAATCGGTGCTCAAGATTCAAGGAAAACTCATGTACTATTGAAATGAACACGGAACTTTGTGGACAAGATATGAGTTATGGATTTTGGATGTCAAAAAGCAAGACTACACAAAACTTAACTATTCAAACTATTCAAGATAACAATTCTCTCGCTATATC